AGGATGCATCCCTGAGACTCACAACCTTCAGGAGGAAACAGTATCTAGCTAGAATGTATTAATAATACATGTTTGCTTTCACTTACTATATTTTTATGGTTACTTTGTTCAAATGGCCAATGATACTCACTTTCTATTTACAACAGTGATATAAAGTTTCCTTCTTTAATACAAAAATTTTTTAAAGCTAGTTAATGGCAAAGAGAAATAACAACATAATGGTTACTGGAAATGTTCCGCACAGAGTCTGGAACAGAGGGTAATTATGTTATCCTGGAGTTAGGGGACAGGGGAAGGACTAGTCACACCCAGAAAGTAGCTCCTCTTATACTCTCACATCTCACCTGTCCTAGGTGACACATTAGCATGACAATCTAGGGAGATGGTGTCCCTTTTCTTCAACTATGAAAACCATGTTACCCAATGCTAACCACCACGAAAATAAGGGAAGTGCAGAGGTTTACCCTGTCCATGCGGTTGCGATGCCGAATTTCTAGCTGCTCCTTAGCCTTCTGGAAGCGAGCATGCTCATTATCATCTGCAGAGGTCTCGAAATATACATCGACATCATTGGTTGGTAGAGGAGTTGGGGGAACTGAAACAAAATGACAAAGGGCGTTCTCTTTGGGCGTCAGGCCCAATGTTGAAACTGCACTGTGCTCTAGGAAGAAAACCGAGCTCAGGACTGCAGAGCGAACTAGTTTGTCTTGTACCACGCCCAAAGTATAGGGTGCTGCTATCTGCCAAGGCCTGGCTCTATTAAGTACCCTGGTCCATCTTCCTCACATGCTATTCATCCACCAGGCCAGTGCAGGCCCCCTGGGAACTGCAGCACCAGTGAGGCATCTACCCTGTTTCCCCAAAAATAAGACCTAGCTGGAAAATAAGCCATAGTATGATTTTAGGTGCCAAAATGTGGCACCTTAGCATACTGAATATTTTAAGCTGAAGGAGTTTGTGGAAAAGGCACCCTTCTCCCTGAAACAAGTCATAAAACCCTCATGTGAGGGGTGCGTGCCCTCCATATCCTGGAGGAATCATGCTACCGCTTATTCTCCGGCTAGGTCTTATTTTCGGGGAAACACGGTACTTAGAGGATTTCAGGGGCAGAAAAGGAAATCAATTCTTCTATATCGTCCCTCAGTTCTTGAAGTCTTAAATCCTAAAAAAATAACTACCTTACTGCTGTTACTGATAGCATCTGACCAGAGAC